CCTCTTTAAATAGCTTTTTTTGGTCTGTCATAAGTGCTAAGCCAAGTTGTTTTTAGAGCTAAGAGAGAGAAAGGAAGAGAGAAAGAGAAATGAAGTTTTTGCTTGTAAACGTCGAGGCGCTCGACAGTGTAATTTCTCAAAGTACTAGAATTCTCTGCAGCTCCGTGGGCGTATGCAAATTAGCCGAACCACGTAAATTTGTGTGTTATTTTCTGGTTTGCATTTTTTTGATGTAATTTTTTCACTTTATTGTCGTCATTTTTTCATAACAGGTGTAGCACAAGTGACAGACAATATTAGAGACGGTCATCTTAAGTGTTTTGGTCATATTAAATGTTGACCATATGATGATCCGGTTATGAGAGTAGATATTTTATATTCAACTTATGTTAAGAAAGGTAGAGATAAACGTTAAAAAAACTTGGGCATGTTGTATAAAAAATGATCTTAATTTATTAAAATGAAATGAAAATATGACACATGTTAGAACAAAATGGATTCATGTAGCTAATCACTCTTAGTAGGATAAAGGCTTGTTGGTGTTAGTGTTTTTGCTGTTGTAGTGCCTCTTAAAATAAGGAGATTAAAAGGGTTCCTTGAGCTCTCCCTGATATCTCATATTTAAGGTAACACACACACACACACACACACACACACACACACACACACACACACACACACACACACACACACACACACACACACACACACACACACACACACACACACACACACACACACACACACACACACACACACACACACACACACACACGATAATGCACAATTCTCAATGATTTTTTTATAAGAAAAAATCATGATCATCCTTGTTTTGATTTCATCAAATTTATAATCAAACTGGGTGATTTGACAAGATGAACTCAATGATTCTAAAATTGGTTTAATCGGGTCCATTCAAGGTTAGATCATCTTGTTGAAGCACAATTGCATGTTTTGGATCATCTAATGAATGATCAAATGAACTTCAAATTCGACATATTTATAGTTGAATCAAATGTCTCAACTAGAGGAACCCAAATAACAAAAGATCACTCAATTTTGAGGTCACTAAAACATCCAAATTCTTAAATAATCACTTATAATCTTGGGGGATCAACATAAATTGTCTGATCAGATGATTTGGAAAGTTGTGCACCAAAAGATCAAAATACCCCTCCCCAAAGAACTATAAATAAGCCCACTCTCTTCTGGTGATATTATTAACGTTGTGGTTATATTTCAATGGTATTATTACCGTTGTATTACAGTATTATTATCGTTGTATTACGGTATTATTACGACATTATTATGATCTTATTAAGGTTGTATTTTGAAGGTATTAGTCTTGTGATATTATTTCACTTTATTATTATAATATTTGACTTTATAGGATTATTACAGTTTTATTTGACTTTATGGTATTATTAGGGTTTTATTTGACTTTATTATTTAATATAAGTCAAGTTTTGTATACGAAAACTATATTTTTAATAAAGGAACTGCATTTTATTTAAAAGAACCAAGAAACCCTAATAATCACCATTTAAAAGAACTGTATTTTATCACAGTATTATTTAGAAATGCATTTAGAAGAAGAACTGCATTTAGAAGAAGACAAAACAACCAAGAAAAAAAAATATTACCTGGCGGAACCCTCTTCAGTAACCTTCTTCTTACGGTCATTGGTTTTTTTCTTGGATTGCATTCTTAACAGCTCATTTTCGTTTTCCATCGCCAATGACTCTTCGGCTACCACTGTCGTAGGGTTTTCTTCGATTTTCATCTTAGAAGGCTCGACTTTCATCTTGATCAGCCAAACTCTAGCGGTGAATTGAGGAATGTACTTCGACCGGCAAACGACGACTTGAAACCCTAAACAGATGGCGAATGGCAAAATAGGTGGTGCGCCTGTCGGTTTTCCTCCGGAGTTCTTTTTCGATAGACGTTTCGTATTATGTCCGTTCAACTAATTCGGGAGGTATCGGGAGGGAGTACAGTCGGGTCCCACGTGATAAAAAAATTTTAAAATTTCAAGGAACCCTCGAATGTTACCATAATACAACCATACTAATAAACCATACTAAAACCCTAAACAGATGGCGAATGGCAAAATAGGTGGTGCGCCTGTCGGTTTTCCTCCGGAGTTCTTTTTCGATAGACGTTTCGTATTATGTCCGTTCAACTAATTCGGGAGGTATCGGGAGGGAGTACAGTCGGGTCCCACGTGATAAAAAAATTTTAAAATTTCAAGGAACCCTCGAATGTTACCATAATACAACCATACTAATACTTCACTAAATAAAAACATAATAAAGCAACAATAAAATCACGATAACACCGCAGAGTACTAAAAAAATTACCGCGGAGCTAATCACATTAATGTCACCACAATAAAACTTGAATAATACCATAATATAACCATAATAATACATCACCTCGGTGTTAATAAACAGATAAGTTAATAATACGACAACCACTCCGCAATAAAACAATAATACTACATAACAAAAAATAGATCAATAATACTCGAATAATTCACTAATAATACCACAATATTACAGCAAGTCGAATAAAAATAACGATACATATAACAATAACCACCGTTTAATACATAGTATGCGACAAAGGGGAGGTCAGGCTGTTGGCCTGTAGATTCAGCTCCAACTCTATTTGTTAAATTTGTGGGCAATGAGATCAGAGTTATTTAATTACTCATTGAGGGCTTGGTCAGGATCAGTGAAGAAGCTGAAAATTGCAATATACCTAATATTCATTTTAGTTTTAAAATTTCAAGGAACCCTCGAATGTTACCATAATACAACCATACTAATACTTCACTAAATAAAAACATAATAAAGCAACAATAAAATCACGATAACACCGCAGAGTACTAAAAAAATTACCGCGGAGCTAATCACATTAATGTCACCACAATAAAACTTGAATAATACCATAATATAACCATAATAATACATCACCTCGGTGTTAATAAACAGATAAGTTAATAATACGACAACCACTCCGCAATAAAACAATAATACTACATAACAAAAAATAGATCAATAATACTCGAATAATTCACTAATAATACCACAATATTACAGCAAGTCGAATAAAAATAACGATACATATAACAATAACCACCGTTTAATACATAGTATGCGACAAAGGGGAGGTCAGGCTGTTGGCCTGTAGATTCAGCTCCAACTCTATTTGTTAAATTTGTGGGCAATGAGATCAGAGTTATTTAATTACTCATTGAGGGCTTGGTCAGGATCAGTGAAGAAGCTGAAAATTGCAATATACCTAATATTCATTTTAGTTGAAGGTAGAGTTTCCTGATTGCTCGGAGGCAATGAGATGGAGTTATTTAGTGATTCAGATAATCTTGATTGATAAGCAATCAAAAAATCACTCACATCTATGATCAAAGGTTGATTGAGCAGAAGTTTCAGGCTGTTCGCAGATCTAAAATTGATCGAGTTATATAATCTGATGATAATGCTGATGATGTGATTTGTATCAAGTAAATCAGGTAATGAGTTTACTAAATTGTGGGAATAGAATAAAATTTTATTGCAAGTTATGTTGTTCTGCACTTCTTAAGTCTCATGTGACTGGTGTCCCAACTGGTTCACCTGACGGAACACCATTCACATCAGACTTAAGAAGTCCAGAACATCAAAACTTACAATTACATTTTATTCTGTTTCCACAATTTAGCAAACTCATTACAACTTACTAGATACAAATCATATCTTCAGCATTGGCATCAAATTATATAACTCGATCAACTTTAGATGTGTGAACCGCCTGAAACTTTTTCTCAATCAACATTTGATCATTGATGCGAATAATTTTTCGACTGCTTATCAATCAAGATTATCTGAATCACTAAATTTCCATCTCATTGCCTCTGAGAAATCAGGAAACTCTCCCTCAACTAAAATGAATATTACATATATTACAATTTTCAACTTCTTCATGATGCCGACCAAGCTCTCAATTAGTCAATAAATCTCTCTCATTGCTCACAAATTTGTGTCAAATGGTTCAAAAAACAGTACTTGGCTTGTTCGCCTATCTTCCTCCTTTCATGCATGCAATGATTTAAGTTATAGAAACACAAATAAGAAGACAATAGTAAAACAAATGTGTCTATTAAAACAGCAGACAATAACATCATAATCACACAACAATAAAATCATAAAGCCGTAGCAAAAAAACTCTCTTCAACAGTACAATAACACAACAATAAAATCATAATAATACCACAATAACCCTACAATAACACCAATATCCCTCATTAACAAAAATAACACGAGAATACTGCCAAGATAATATCGCGGTAACACTATAAACCATTACCCCGGCCTAAATGCAAGCATAACATAAACAGTTACAACGACAACAACTTCGAATAAAATGAAAACCACTAAAGTAAAACTCCGATAAACCCAGAGAAACAAATTTTTAAACACAAGCAATGATATGCCATAACTATACATCGGATAAAAAACTAAAGTAATACTATTAAATCAACTAATTAAAACTCTGATAGACCCAGACAAATGCCAGAAGTATCCATAAAATAAAAAAGAAAACTCGCACAAACCCTGGAACCCAAACCATAACAATTTCTTTAAGATAAAAAAAACATTCTCCACGAAGCTAAACTCACTTGGATCTGAAAGTCCTTCTCACTGTCTTCGTCGAAAACATTCTGAACGAAGCTAAACTGGCTCGGATCTGGAAGTGGTTGTCATTCTCTTCGTCGGCAGACTAATCCATTTCGGCAGCTCCAAACACTAAAGTGCCAAAGTAAAGTGGAGTAAAACTGGAAAAGGGTCTTATGCTTAAATTTTTCGGAAAAAGTTGGTTTGGACCGGATCGGGCGTTAAAAAATAGAATTTTTAACATAAATAATAATAGTGGGAATGAATTACACGTGGGAACTTTTTATTGGCTACCTTTTACAAGTAATAAAAATTCGATCTCGTCGACTCTCCGTTCCTTCGTTCTCGTTGCTTGGAGCAACCCTAGTAATGGCTTCTTCCAAAAAAATGCTCCAGATTTTCGTTGCTTCCCCTGACCTCGGCCTCCCTTCCCGATCCCTAACCCTATCACCCTATCTCACCCTCCACAGCTTAAAGCTCTCTCTATTCCCCTCCCAAAACCTAACACAAACCCTAAACTGCCTCTACTTTTCCCTCAATGGCAAACCCCTCCTTGACTCCTCCACGCTTTCTTCCGCTGACGTTAAACCATCCTCCCTCCTCACCCTACGCCTCCGATTCTCTGGTGGCGGAGGAGATGGCGGCGCTACCGGCGCCGAATCCCGCGATTGTTACCTCAACATGTACGCTGTCAAAAAGCCCGACAAGGTTGACCCGAACGAGACCCGACTTTCGCGCTGGACTACTTGCGCTTTCTCCTCCGAGCCGCTCGCCCCTCCTTGCGTGATCGATCGCATCGGTAATATCTTCAACAAGGAGTCACTCGTAGAAGCTCTCATCCACAAGCGGCTTCCCAAGGAGTTCAGCCACATAAGACGGTTGAAAGATATGATTCCTGTCCATCTTTCACCGATTCCTGATGCTGGTAGACAGGAGATGAGGTTCCAGTGCCCAATTTCTGGGCTTGAATTCAATGGAAAGTATGGATTTGTTGCTATTAAGGGATGCGGGCATGTTTTAAGTGGAAAGGCTCTAAAGGAGGTGAAAACGTCAGCTTGCTTGGTTTGCCATAAGGAGTTCTCCGAGTTGGATAAGATTGTGATTAATGGTACTTTGGAGGAGGTGGCTTTGTTGAGGGAGAGGATGGAGGAGGAGAGGGGAAGGTCGAGGGAGAAGATGGAGAAGAATGTTGGGTGTAGTTTGAGTGGTGCAAAACATGGCGTTGGTGAGACAGCTGGGAGCTTGGAGTGTGTTGGGAAGGATAGGAGTGCGAAGAGGTTTAAGGCAGTGGATATTGCTCCTGTCAATGCCACCAAGGAGGTTTATGCTTCTATCTTTACTTCTTCTAAGAAAACAGAGTTTAAAGAGACTTATTCTTGCCGATCGCTGCCACTTGGTAGGAATTGAGGAGGTGGAAGGTCTCTCACTCTCCTGGTTATGTAGTTGGTAAGAGTTCAATTAGATTTGTTAACAGTGTCACCGCAGTGTGTTTGGATGGGCTGTGCTAAACTTTTTCATTTTAAAATGTATGAAGGTACTCAATAATTTAATGTAATTCTTTGGGTTTATATTCATGGAGAACATACTATCAAGTTATTTTGAATTGGTTTCCATGCCTTTTCCTTTACATTTCACTCTTAAACGAGTGTCATTAGTTTTTTGAACATTTTTTGCCTGTATATTTTTGGTATTATGGAGCGGGACATGAGTTTGTGATGAAATGTGGAAACAAATCTTGGAGAGTAATTAAAACTCTTGCCTTTATTTTGACATTTATACCACCCAAAATTTTCATATCACATAAAAAATACCATCATTTTAACTTATGAGAATTGAAATGCACCTTTCCATGCATAGGTAATGTGGCATGTATGTAAATCATCCTATACTTTATTCACGCAATGAAACCAGCTTTAGTGCCAGTTTTGTTAACAAGGGAGTGGACAAAAAATAAGCTTTCACCAGCTGTTAAAGTTTTAAGTTTTTTTTTCTTCACATTTTAAAAAAGAATTCTAAGCTTGTGTTAGTCAGCATTATTCACATCATCCTTCCTTTCTCACAGGTTTCTTTTTTTTTTTTGTTTTTTTACATGCATTCCGATCAATTTTACCAGAACCTTACTTTAGTTTCATTGAATTTATCCTGATATCGGTTTAAAAAAACATTTTTTTATGTTTGCACTGAGATTTAATGTACTGGTAAAAATGACTCATTTCGGTGCTTTTAGTAACTAGAGATTCTATATTTTTTTGAGCTGGTTCGAACTCGTAAAATTAAGCTCGAGCTCAAACTCAATTTTAATCAAGCCCAAGCTCAACCCATGGTGGCTCTAGCTCGAATTGACTTGACTCGACTCATCTACACCCCTATGGCCATGCCTATAAGCTTTCTTTCTCCATTTGAATTTAAATTGCTGGGAAGAATGTTTTAGGTCATGCCCTTTTTATCACCATCAATCATGATTGGTCTTGTACTGTGCATGCTAAGTTATAGCCTTTGATGCGAAGATTTAGAGTTCATGCTTGGTTGAATTTTTGACATAAAAGTTATGTCAAAATTGATGAATGAATCTAATTTGATGTTTTGTAGGTGTTTGAGCATTTTTTAGAATAGATTGTACTGAGAAGTGGAGAAAGATTTGCTAGAACATGAGTAGTAAGAGGCATGCCAAAACCTAATTGTGATGAAAAATAGTCAAAGGTTTTAGAATGTAATTTGGAAATTGATGCGGCTTAACTCAAATGTAGTGAAGTTTGTATGGTTTGACTCTGTTTAAAAATAAGGTAATATTTTCAAAATGGAATCTAGTATGTATGAGTTGAAATAGTATAGAATTGGTGACACATTGATAAGAGGAGGAATAAATATTGAATTATTGCAAGAATGCAAATAGAGAGTTGAAAATTTTTAGGCATATGGGATTGGTGCAAGTAATTACATGTTAGGGTAGCAATATGCATGTAGAAGTGTGAATTAGTTAAGAGAGTTTAAAGTTTATATTCTTAAAATAAACAAGTGGAGTGATATGATTCTTCATTTAAAGTAAATATTTGTTTGTACATTATAGGTAGTCTTTATGCTCTAGTTGTGAATGCTAATTTTGAAAGATATTTGTGTGCTGTTACAAGTATGCATTAGAGAAATAAAAAGAAGATTCCTTTTTGTGGAAAGTTAAAAAGGAAATTTGATTGTGGGAGTATTCATATTTGATTTTATAATAGCATGTGATATAGCAGTAAAAAAAAATGTTGCTTCAAAGTGTAGTTGCTAACGTACAACTGAATTATTATTTAAGGAAAAAAAAAAGATTTTCTTTAGTAAAAATCATATGGTGACTCTAAAAATAAGCTTAATTTTACACAATATGGTCTAGTTGAATTAGGTTGTGGGAGTATTCTTTATGCTCTAGTTGAATTAGATTTTGAATGGGTCTGATATTACGAGTATGCATTAGAGAAACAAAAAGAAGATTCCTTTTTGTAGAAAGTGAAAAGGAAATTAGGTTGTGGGAGTATTCATATTGGTTTTTGATTTGAGATTGATATGTAATGAACAATACCATCTTTGATTTTGTAATAGCATATGGTATAGCAGCAAAAAATTTCTTTAAAAAAGAAGTTACTTTTTACAAAATGTAGTTGCTAAAGTACAAATTGATAATTATTTAAGAAAAAAATAAGATTTAATTTAGTAAAAATTGTATGGTGGCTCTAAAAATATGCTTATTTACACAATAAGGAGCTATTGTTGTGGATATATTATCTTAGAGGTAACAAAAGGGTTAATTGTGGTATGATTGGATGGTTGAATTAAAAAGGTGATAGTGGTTAATTGTTTTAAGTTTGCTTTTTAAAAAGAGATAAATTGAATTTTTAATGTGGGATAAAATGCTAGCTGTATCAAAAAAATTTAGAAAATTATGATTTGTCTTTTTAAGGGAGTCTATAATAGTTGTTCCACAAGGAACTTGGTTATATAGCGAGGTGCTAAGAATTCTGATTATCATTATTATTAGATTTATATTAACTATTTGAGGTCAGCTTTATGAATTCATATTTTCTTAGCTATTCTTGTTGGATTTCTTCGTAGATTTTTTTGAATAACTTTTATCTTTGCACTTTAGGGTAAACTTGTCCCCTTTCTAATCCCCTGATACTAATTTCATCTATCTTGAGCATATATTATACTCATTGTTGTGCACATCAAAGTCATGTATGTTCTTAATTGCTTTATCTTCAGTAGGTGTCACTCAAATTATCTCTTTATTGTAATTATTCCTAGCTCTTCTATGCAGTCATCTTAACATTTTCATTTCTACAAAGCTAAACTTAGATGTTCTTGCCTCTATTCAGATCCATACAACTACTGTCAACTTAATTACACTTTTATAATTTCTTTTATCTTTTAGTGTTATTGTTGTCTCTTTTCACACAATCTCGAGACTCATATATTTTAGGTGGGGAAATTTACGTACGTACTGCACAATTCTTATGAATTTACATATCTAACACTTTATATTTACATTTATAACAATTTGGTGATATAAACCTATACATGAAAAGGTGCATTTGACTTTTAAAAGGTTATTAAAAGTATTTTTGAGGTGGTGATAAAGATTTGAGTATTATGAATGTAATTATTAAAGTATAGGTGTTAGACATGTGAATACATAAGAATTTTGTGATATGCATGTAAATACCCCTTTTGTCATCTGGCTTTAACTTTAGAAGATTGTATGTATAATTGATTCAAAATGTTAGCCATCACATCTGCATGTCACAATATCATTTTTTAATATTAAATGATAATAATTAATATCTCACCTACTAAAGTTGTATATATTATATTCATTCTTTGTTCAACTAATTCTAAGTCATTTATTTTCTAAACATTTTCATTGTTTGTCTAACTATTTATTTTCTTTAGTGATATCTCCTTAGTTGGAACTACACCATTTGCAAAAAATATGCACTGGGATAGCTCGTTTTTAGTCTGTTATAAGCATCTCCATAACCAATACAAAAAGTTATGGATGTAATTTTTAACTTTTCAATGAGCATGATTAGTTTTTTGAGGATTTTTTGCCGGTATGTTTTTGTGCAAAAAAATGAGTTTGTGATGAAATTGTGGGAAAAAAAACTTGGAGGATAATTAAAAGTCTTGCCTTTATTTTGGTAAACGGAGGGCATTGATATATTGAGTTATTGCTAATGGTCCTTAGGTATGCTTACTTTTGAGTTGATAACTTTACTATTGGGAATGCAGACACCCTTTTATTGTTTCAAATTTCTGATAAAAGTTTTAGTTTTTAGGAAGATTGTTAGTGGATACTGCTATAGTTCTTTTTTTCCGCCCTTTCTTTCTGTGTTTGATTGCGAAGTCATAAAATTAGTTCTTAAGCTGGGAAGTTTATTTCATAGGAAAGATTGACTTGATAAATGGATTGATCCCTTTTGTCAATTTGATTGTATTGTAGTTGCAAAGCTATAACTTTGGATGTGAATATTTAGAGTTCATGTTTGATTGACTGTCCAACATAAAGCTTGTGTCAAAATTCATGAATGAATACAATTTGATGTTTTGTAAGTGTTCGAGCATTTTTTAGGTTGGATTGTGCTGAGTAGAGAAGGATTTGCTAGAACATGAGTAGTAACAGGCATGCCAAAACCTAATTGTGATGAAAAATATTCAATGGCTTTAAGATCTTTATTTGGAAATTGATGTGACTTAACTCAGTTGCAGTAAAGTTTGTATGGTTTGACTAAGGGTCCGTTTGGGGCAGCAGTGTGACACCACACCGCAGTTTTGCCCTTTTAGATAAACTGTGTTTTGGTAGTTTTTTTCAAAAAGCAGCCCTTGAAATCAGTTTTTTCCCACAAGTCGTGGCTAGGTGCAGTTTTGGCATCTGACTTTTTCAAAAAAAAAAAAAAAAAAAAAAAATGTAATTGCCACCACAGTTTTTGCAACATCAAATTATTCTTCAGCAGTTTCATAGTTGCATCTTAATAAGTTGCAGTTGCCCCCAAACAAACCCAAATTTTTAAAGTGAGATAATATTTTTAAAATGGAATATAGTATGAATGAATGAAAATGTTAAGAGAATTAGTGGCACATTAATAAGAAGAAGAATAAATATTGCATTATTGCAAGAATGCAAATGGAAATGTGAAAATTTTGAAGGCATTTAGGATCGAGCTAAGTTAGTGCAACGCAACGGTAGGGTAATAACATCCATGTAACTTTAGGTTTAACTTGCCCTCATTCTAATCTCCTAATACTTATTTCATCCTCCTTTTTAATGAGCATATATATTATACTCTTTGTTGAACATATCCAAATCATGTCTTCATCTTTAGTAAATGCAACTCCGATTATGTCTGGATTGTTATATTTCTTAGTTCTTCTATGCAACATTCTGAACATTTTCGTTTATACAAAGCTAGACTTACACATAAGAATGTGCATTTGACTTTTAAATGATTGGTAAAAGTGGCATTTTTTTTTTATGTCATGTTAAACATTTGACTGTTGTGAATCTAAATATTAAAGTTTAGATTTTAGATATTTAAATACATAAGAATTGTGTGGCATGCATGTAAATATTCCTTTTGGTTATGCACGTAATGTTGATCTCTAATATACATATACTGCAATTGAAAATCTTTAGAAAATGATTTATAATTTTTGGTCTTGTTTATGTGCATAACATAAGATCTTTCCTACTAGTTATGCCACCATGCAGTTTGCAAATTAGTTTGTAGGTTGGATTCATTCGTTAAATAAGTAAGGTGATTATATATATATTTGATTGATATGTGTTTAGCTTTTTTTGGCTCGATTAAATAAAATAATTAAATGATGGTTATTATAATTTGTTTGTATTAATTGTTTATGTTGTATTTTAAAAATATTAATTTTTATTACTTTTAAATTATTCAAGTTAAATTCATGAACAAATGAAATTGAATCAAGTTGAATATGAATATGTTACTCATGAGAGGACAATTTCGAACACATGAATATTTTGAATTATAAAAAAAAAATTCAAATAAGAGGAATATAAATTTGGCTCGTTCAAATTACCCTTGTTCACGCCCTTCATAGGGAAGGTGAGCCCGAAAGATAATATGAGTAATTTAAATTTGAGACCTCACTATGAGAGATTGCACCTGAATCACTATGTAGTGTATAAATATATGTTTTGTTTCAAGCGATAGAAAAACAATATAAATAGAGGTTCGAGGTAACGACCTGACACAATAATGTGATTAAGACAACCGACTCTTAGGGGTTTCACAATAAAAGCATGCCTGCGTTCTCAAATGGCAATGAAACCATCAAATTGACAACGAGCTAGTCGATGGAATCACATGAGCGACAATCACCAGCTAGCATTAAGCGAAAAAGGGAGAAAGAAAGGGAATTCAGGTTCCCCTTCCTCCTTATATTTATATTTTTCCTTGATTTATAAGCCCCGCAGTGTCATTTTATAATAGTATAAAAAGTTATATAAAGCTACATAATGCTAAGTCATATCCATCAATTTTATGTGATTTCCAACTGTTGTCAGTAGCTTTACGTCATGTTCAATAGTTTTACGTCATATTTATTTAAGTCCTGTAATGTAGTTGAAATGTTAGTTTGACAGTTTGACAATTTGACGGTTAGACAGTTTGTACGTTCACCAATTTGGCAATTCACCAGTTCGACTGTCTGATCATTCAACAATTTAACCATTTTGGTAGCTAGACAATTTGATATGTACTCCACCTTAATATTTCAATTAATTCAACAATTAAATAGGTGGACAATTCGACAGTTGGACAATTCGACAGCAAGGAAACTTGACAAATGAGTAATTAGGTAGTTTGACAATTTGATAGCTAAGCAGCTCAACAGCTGGGTAATTAGGCCGGCCAGTAATCAACAATTTAATATGTGAGTAGTTTCTGTTGTTGAGTAATTTAAGCAGTTGGGCAACTCAAAAAGTCTTTTTAGGTGTATACAAAATTAAATTATTTTTTTTTTTTCATAACAAAAAATAGTACCTCAGAAAACTCAAGCTCATAACCACCAGCCACGCCAGATGGATCATGACAACTCAGCCCCATAAAACCACTTATATATTTTTAGCTGTAGTTGAAGGGATTTAATAGTCCCACATCGATTTCTGCTGCGAAGTAGCGATAGCTTTTACTATAAAATGCTTCGGAATGCGGCAGATCAGATCACGCAGCTGCGTAGTGGGCACAGAGCGAACTATTCTTTCGCCTTTTACTAAAGAATACCGTGTGCCCGTTACCTAAAGCAGCATACGCTTATTTTTGAGAAGGATTTTCTTAATTAGAAATTCTTATAAATCAAATTAAAACTTTTATAATGTTATTTATATATATATATATATGCAATTATTGTTGTGATCATATTGACAAATGCATAAAAAATTATATGGTTTTCATGTACATGTTTTTTTCCTAAACTATATGATATTATTTTAAAAATAAATTAATGAATGAATATTTATTATAATATTAATAATATATTAATTAATATAAAATTTTAAGATAGGTACCATTAGGTGTGTTCATATATTATTTTATGAAAATTAACTTTAAATTTATGCAAAGCTATAAGGAGTACTTTTTCCTACGTTTGAAAAAAATTTGTGTTTGAAATTGTTCATGAAGTCCCTGTTTGTGTTCGTTTCTTAACGAACGAGCCGAACACGAGCTGTTCGCGAAATCAACATTAATATATTAATAATATAATATATTATTATTATATTATTATTATTAATAATTTATTATATATTATAATTAATAAAATTTAATTTTTTAAAATATCTTAAATTTTTATATATAATTACTTTAAATTATTTTATATTTCGAACAATAACGATTCAAACACGAACGCATCACTGTTCGTGTAGCTAACCGCACGAAAAAAATTTGTTCACATTTGTCTCGTTTACTTATCGAACCAATCGAATACAAACTCATTGATGAATTGAACACAAACTGTTCGCGAACAACAAGCTTTTTTGACAGCTCTAGCCACTGGGTTAAAGGGTGTGTATTATTTGATCAAAAATATAATCGAATCGATCAAATTTGATTGATTTAATTCGATTTCAATATTGAATTTAATTTTTTATATTTTGTTTTGATTTTCAATTTAAGTTCAATTTTTTTTTAATTGAGCAAAACCGAAATTTAATTAAATTTTTTTAATATATTTTAATTTAATTAAAAAAATGAATTTTTATAACCGATAATATTTAATTGAAATGAAATTGATATCATGTATATGTAATTCTTAATTTTTATTCTTAGTTAGATTCCAATTTCAAATGATCATTACAATTTGGCCAAAGATATATATATATATATATATATAAAGTCAGATTTATTAAATTTTAATTTATATTTATTTTTCTTAATATTTCACTGAATTTAAGTTAAACTCATGACTAAAATCAAACACCGCTTAAATCTCTTTTGTGAAGCAGCATGCAAGGAATTCAATGGACCACTTGGTTGAAAACATTTCCTTCCTCTATCTTTGCCCCCAAAGCTCTCAAAAGAGTATTTACACAAATACAAAGAAGCAGCGGCAGAGAAGCAACAAAATCTCCTCTTTTCCTTCAAGCGCTCGGGATCAAGGGAAGAAGCAGGCTAAGGGGAGTCTCAAATGTCGAATCTTCAGCTGAATCTCACACAAACCGTCGGCGCTTTCTCCGCCCGAAAGATCAGAGCTTCTTCCAATGGTCGCAGTCTAATCATTCGCCTCTTTTATTTTTATAAGGATCCTATAGATGAGAAAACTTAACCTTATTCTTTGGTTGGAACTAGGATTTTCGATTGGAGCGAAAATACCTGTTATCGATTTACTTGTGATGGAACTTTGTATTTGAGATTTGATTCTTTGTAGGCATTTGGGTGTAGGAATTCCATTCTCCAAGCCAAAATCAGGTCTTCTGATACTAGATTTGCCTCTTGAGAAGATAAGACGGCCATTAATGCGTACTCGAGAAAATGATCAAGAGAAGGTGAAGGACCTGATGGAGAGCATCCGAGAGATTGGACTTCAGGAACCTGTGAGTATATTCCGCCTGTTCTCTCTTGAGCTGAAATTAATGCTGAACTGTATCAGTGATTTCTGGCTGTTCTTGCTCATACCATTTTGATTCTAGTGAATGATTTCTTATACTGGATTTACTTTGTAGGGGAGTTTTAGCCATTTTTGCGCATTTAATTTTCTCTAAGATAGAGGCATACTGCTATTTTGATTTTTATTTTTACATACTTACCACTCAATTCCTATGTATTTACATGTCTAAAACCCAAACCTCAATTTTTGGATGCATAAGACTTTACCTATGCATGATAATGTGCATTTCACATTTAAAGAGTTAAAGTGGTGGTATTTTTATTTGATATGAAATATCTGGGTGTTATAAATGTAAAAAAGTAAACTTTGGCTGTTTGATATGTAAATCTATAGGAATTGGATGGTATGTTTCTAAATGCCCTAATCCTGGTTGTGGAAATTTTTTGGAAGTTTCATTACTAAGCTTGTCGAAGGGATGAAACAAAACTGAATTTTATTTCTTTTAGTAGAAGATGAATGGATCATCATTTGGATAAGTTGGAAAATTGAAACTTCAAAGAGAAGCAAATGAGATAATTTCATAAGAGTGAGAGAGAAGAGGGGTATTTGAATCCCTCACTTCATTCTGAGCTGGTGTTAATTATGTGTGGTAATTTTTTTCTAGGCTAGATTTTTATATTGGTATTTCTTATTTAATGCAAAATTTTGACTTTTCTTTTTTTTTTTTTGGGGCTAAGAAGATAATTTGATATTTTTTCTTGTGGGTTATGAAGAGCTTGTAATATTTGGAGTGAATTTTGACTATTCACTTGCCCAAATATAGGGATTCACCACCCATAAAATTCAAGGAATCACTAATCCATGGAGATTGGTCACTCATTACATTGAGAAATTATTCATCCAAACAAAAGAACTCTCTCATTGTCTCATCCTTTGAGTTCTCTTTGAAACCTTTTTTTATCCATGCCATCTGCAGTTTAAAAAAAATAAACTCTTAGCCAATTAATTGAGGTAATTTGTGGGGGGTAGTTGGTGCTTTGGAGGTGACTTGTGGGTGATAGGTGATGTTTGGAAATAATAATTTATTTCTAATGAATATTTAATCATTCTTCACTTCTTGCAAGAAACCCCATTTCAAATCTGATATTTAACATCAATGTTTATCAATGCTCATGAAAATGCTTTAGTTCAAACATGGAGAAACTGACTATGACACCAATTTGATATTGCCTAATAAAATAAAATAGAATTGGAATTAGATTAGGAGTGATTTCATTATCATTGATATGCCACAAAAAATTTCACTTGATCATACACAAATCTTGATGCATTTTGAATAAAAAAAAATCTTAGAGTTGGATTCAAGATCATTCGAGCTTTACTTTCAATAATTCTACAGCTGAACTGAACGTATTGATAATACTAACCCATTGACACCAAAAGTTACCTAATTTGAGCTCAAATCAACTCGGATCAAGTACTTGCAGTATGATTAAAAGTTTCAAATTATTAATTGAAGGATCAAATGATTTTTAAAATTGACATGTTTATGGTCAAATTGGGCGTCTAGATAAGAGAAATCCAACTAGCTTAAATTTAATCAGTTCTGAGGTTATTTAGGAACTTAAATGCTAAAAAGAATGATTTATGATTAGAGGGATAGACACGGGCCGTTTGATGGAGTGTTTTAGAATTTTGCTAAGTTTGCGAAAATATTCTATGAAAATTATATAAATAGAATTTCATTTTCAACATGGAGGAAAATGAGGAGAAAATTGAGAGCTAACTATACAATCTTAAAAAAGCTTGGTACTGACAACGTCCAACAATCATTGAACGCCACTAGTGACCGTTATAGCCCTGCTACTTCCTACGACTATTATTATTTTCAGATTGTTGTTGTATAATATTTGTAACTCAATCAAAACTTTTTAATCTCATCTTCTCCATTAAGAGAGGAGCGAATCTTTGCAATTTCAAATACATAGTGGGTAATTCTAATTAGGTCATACCTCGTGTTTTTTTCATTTTTTGGGTTTTCAACATAAAATTTCCAGTATCTTCTCTTTTAACCCTTTTTTTATCTTTGTGGGTTGGATATTCATACAACGCCAAGTCATTAATCTCTCACTCTATCCCAAGAACTTTCTAGCATGCAACAACCATAAGGGGAAAAATTACACGAGATAAAATATAAAATTATATTTATTCACCCAATAGTATGAGACCTCTCTTACCAATAACAATTGAGGAATCACTCGCCCAATTAAGACCAACCTTTCACTCTCTTATCCTTGAGCTCATTCCTGGTATTCTTTCATTTCTTTGTTTTTCATAACGTCAAACGCAAATACTTTGCGTGTAAATGATCTATTGGTTGTTTCTATGTGGATGGCAGAAGGGGGTCGTATTGACGTTGATAACAAGGTACTTATTTGAGAAGTACATTATATTATTTAATGGATACCTTTTATCCTCCCATTCATTGTAGAAATCTTGAGCTCTGGTTTAACCCTCCTCCATGTTTTGTTGTTTGGTACATATTGGAAATGCCGAGCTATGACATCACCAAAGTAAAATTAAAAAGTAAGATTTTCATACATACCACTCAATTTCTATGTATTTACATATCTAACTCCTAAACTTCATTTTTTACCTGCATGCCACCTTACCTATTCATGAAAAAGTGTATTTAACTTTTTAAAAGATTTTGGTGTTATAAATATAAAATGTAAAATATAGGTGTTAGATATGTAAATACATAAGAATCGGGATTTCATTACCATAATGTGAAAATACATGATTGAAAGTGGAGATTCACTCACCAAAACTTTTTTAGTTTAATTGTTAAATTAGTTTAATGTTAATTTATATTATATTATTTAAGCTTCCTATTTTGCAAAATTTTGAATGCAACAAAACTTAAACATCAATCTTGAAATATATTAATCCTCAAACCAATAGTTTAGCGTCTCTTTGATTAAAAGTTGAGCTTTTAAGCAATAAGTTAAGACATACTAAATTTCAATTGCTTAAAGAAGTAACAATAGAAATGATGAAAGTTTTACTTGTATTCACACATTTGTTTACAATATAATCTTTTCTAGATAATTAGTTGCATTATTGCTCTACTAATTCCGCTTTTTGACTAAGTTCTAGCTTTGAATCTTCTAAAATTAAGAACAACTCTGCTAAATATTTTTATCACAGTATTTTTCTTAAATTAGTTTTCATATTTTTTTCCTTCAAAAACCTCATGACATTGCTAATTTCTTCTTTGTTTGCTTCATTTGTAGCTTTCCTATCTTTTGAAAACAATGCATAATTTCTCATTGCATCTATATGAAATGCGCAATTTGAAGGCGCAAAAATTCGCACTTTTTTGGAACCTTTTATATTGCTTTGCTTTCATTGAAATTTGATAGCAGCAAATAGACTTTTATAAACCTGTAAATTCTTTTATTATTTGACGAATGATTTCTTACTTCTCGCTTGTGCTATTCTGCAGATTGATGTGCTTGAGGTTGAAGGAGTCTATTATGGTATGCCTTTCTTCAAAATTATCTCTTAGAAGTTTCATTAATAAAATAATAGAGACGACTAAAGGTCTGTTAGGGGCAACTTTTAGTTATTTTGTTGGAAGGTTTACATACATACCACTCAATTTTGTATGCATTTACATTTCTTACACCTGTACTTCAACTTTTACATACATTCCACCTTACCTGTGCATTAAAAGGTGTATTTCACCTTTTTAAAGTTAAAATTATTGTATTTCTGATGTGATAGGAAATATTTTGTTGGTATAAATGTAAAATGTAAAGTTTAGGCATTAGCTATGTAAATATATAGGACTTTGGTGGGTATGTATGCAAGCCCCTATTTTGTTTCTCTGATTTCCACCACGTCACTGTTTGACTACTGTAATTCAGAAATTTTTTTTGGCAAGAAACGACGTTACTCGATCGGATCTGTTAGTAAAGGATGGCTATAAAGAAGTTTATTGTAATGATTTTCAAAAGAAGTTGTTTTTTCCACAACAACACCGGTCATAAAATCTGTCTTCATGACCCCAGCTCGAATCATGCATCCCTTAGTGTTCACTTTCTCTCATTTTTTTTTCGCAGGTTTCTCCGGTTGCCACCGCTTCGAAGCTCACCAACGATTGGGTCTGTCGACAATCCGCTGCAAAATCCGTCGCGGGACGAAGGAAACTTTAAGGTACTTTCCCCTAGAAAATTCACTTGAATTAATTTCTTTCACCAACTTCAGTTTATGAGCATAATGCTGCATGTCTTATTTGATTTCAGGCATCATATGCGATGAATCATGAATAATATAATGGATTTATAAAACTTTCACTATATTGCATAACTGCAAAAGGAATGCATTCTCTTCTTAGATATGTTAATGTGATTGTGTAATCTGAATGTTATTGATGAGATGTATATGGAGATTGTCATACAATTATCAATCTTAAATGGAGCTATTTGCTGAGTTATTTCTTTGTATGATAAGATTGTCATCTCTATATTTGATTGAGTTAAGCTATTATGTTGAGTAGGGTTGTAAACGAGTTGGGTTTGATCGAGCTCAGGTTTGGCTTATGTTCGGCTAGTACAAAATTAATTTTATTTAAAATTGGCTTTGAAATTGCTTGTAAATAGTGTGTTTGTGTTCAACTCGATTTACATATTATTGTTTTTGTTCGACTCTTATTTTGCTTGAAATTCACTTGTTTAAATTAATTAGAAAAATATTTGTAGGTTGTTGGATACGAACATACATCATTCCTATGTAATAAAAAGCATAGAACCACATGGCACACGAGTTGCGGTGTTTTAAAACTAGATATATATATAGGTTTTTAGCATAGGCCCAACTATTTATTTCTCATGCGCTAGGCCCCATGATGAGAATTCGTGTCATGTGCCTAAATGTTTGAAAACTCAACGCCATTGGGGATTGAACCTGTGACTTGAGGTCACTTACAGTCAACCCCGCCAACCAACAGGCCACGGCTTTGGCACTAAAACTAGAAATATATATAATTTATTTCGAGCTAAAACGAGACGAATACGACGGAACAAAATGTAGTTCATGTTCGGCTTGTTTATAATCAAGCTAAAAAGATGTATGTTTGGTTCGCTTAACAAATGATTCGAACATGAGTTGTTTGAGAACAACGAGTTTTTATGACAACCCTAATGTTTAGTGTTAAAAACATGAAGATTTACATTCATACCACCCAATGTCTGTGTATTTTTACTTATAACAAAATTTTAATTTGTGCATGCCTGCTATCTTATTTATGCATGGAAATGTGTACTTCACTTTTGAAGGTTAAAATGATAATATTTTTATGTGATATGGAAGTTTTTAATGGTATAAATGTAAAAAATAAAATTTAGATGTTAGATACGTAAATACATAAGAACTGGGTGGTAGGTATGTGTACATTATGAATGTGCCAAAGCGAATCTTAAAGAAATTAACAGATCATGAGACAAGAAAGTACAACTAAGGACATTCTACCAATAGAAGTGCCCATTTATCAGACCAATATAGCAATCTAAGCCACAACCAAAGCCAAAGCTAACCAGAGGCAACCATTTCAGTCATAATTCACAAAACTAAAGATGACATGACGGATAAGTCAACCACTATAGGAAAACCTATCATAGTTGGCAATTAGCCTTTCAGTATATCAGACTCGAGGAAAGATTCTACTCCTCTGTATAATAAATCATCCCTCAGGCTATCCATGTCGGGGGTGAGCTACTTATCAGCTTATGGAAATTCACCTTCTGTCCAATGATCTAGCATCTTTGAATTGACATGAGCTCCTCACCAGGGATTGACAGTTGAAAGTCAAACTAAATCAGTCGACGAGCTCGTCTTGTGAACCTGAAGTCAATCGAAGGTTGATCGGCTACCAAGATCCAATATGTTCGAACTAGTAGGATGTTGCCCATCATCTTTTGATGTCACGAGTGTATGATGTCCGCTCGAACGACCCTAGGGTATGCTTCACGTAAATATGACTCTGTGAGGCTCAAGTTTCCATCTTTGATCCCCTGACAGATGACTAAGTTCGTTTTGTTAGGCCTTGGTTGTCGATGAGACGAGGGAAGACTGGCATGACATTAATGAGACGCCCCCGACTAGACGAATTTTGTTTGGCACAACTCAAACAAATCAGGCCCTAAATTGGCTTATTTGTGAGAAATTATCCTTTAGATGACTTTAGATGGCGGAACGGACAATGCAGATGTGTCTGAAACATTGTTTTCGCTTAGAATAGCCTTCCAAGTCTTGTCACAAAGCCTAAATCACCAAAACCAGGAAATAGCCCCGGACAGTGCATACATGACCACACCCATATGGGGCGTGAACTCACCCCATTTTGGGTGTGGCTACGCCACACACCTCATTCTCCTGTTTTAATTTAGTTCATTGTTTGGTTCCTGTTTTTCCCTCTTGACGCCGTCCGACTGTCGGGATAAGTCGTTGGACCGGTCCTAAGCCAAAAACGGACCTGGGCACTTGTTGAAAGAAACAAGAGGTCATTCGAATCTGGGCACCTGTAAGAATATCCTTCTCGTTGTCGAGGGGAGGGGGGTGTTGAGGAGGAGTTAGAGCCCGCAATCACAGGAGCGTTTGGAGAGTTTTTGGAGAGCTCTCATAAAGCTTCTTTGTTCTTCTTCTTCTTGTTTTGACATATTTTTTAGTGTCACCATCTTAGTCTTAAAAACAGAGAAGAAGAGTGAAGCGTCTGTTGCACTGACGCCGGAAAAAACTCCTTGCGATGCGAGCTCCGTCACCTAAAGGGAGAGGAGGTTGGTACTTGGAGCGTTGTCGGAATCACTTCTTGACAAAGAGGGCTTCTTTCGGAGCAACGAATGAACTTTGATTAACCACCGCGACAGTATAACCTCCTTAATGTTCACATTTTTTTGGTTTCTAGAGCTCCTAGGTCTGGTTGTTTGTTGTTCTTAGAGGAGACTGATAGGTTGGGGGCCTTCCGTGGATTCTTCCACACGAAACTGAGTTGCTCATTGTAGTCATAGCACCAAAATCCCATAAAAGATGAGGTGGTTACAACCTTGTTGTTTGTTCCAGCAACAAGTGAAATCAATTGATCGACCGAATGACGACGTCCTTTTGGTTGTCATTCGCTCGATCGTGAAGAGTTCTCGTTAGTATATCATTTACTCTATGTTAGGCAAATGGGTTGCAAGGTCATGTTGCTTTGTACAATATGACGTTGACACCTCTTCCATAGATTCAACCCTAGAACCTACGCGAGGTTGTTAGGATGAGTTTGATGTGTCGTCCAGTTTTTTGGGTTGCATTTCATATGTGTGCTCATTTGTTACATTTTTTGTGTGTCATTCATGTCGCATATTGTATGCGTGATCGCGTGAACACTTCAATTCGATCAATTGTCCCGACACGATCAACCGATCACTTTGGGTCTGAGCGGTTGTCCCGACTAGATCGACCTATCTTTTGGGATCAATCGACCGCCCCAACCTGATCACCTAATCTTCTGGGTTCGATCGACCGTCTCATGTCGATCACCCACTTTAGGTCCAGTCTACCGTCTCGACCAGATCGACCTATTTTTTGGGGCGCGAATGACCATATCAGACCGATCGATATATTTCCCGAGCTAGATCGACTGCCCCTACCCCGATCGACCTATTTTTCAGATTCGATCAGCCACCCCGACCCTATCATCTGATCTTCTAGGTTCGATCGACCGTCCCGTATGGATCACCTGGTTTAGGTTTAGCCGACCATCCCAACCCAATCGACCAATTTTTCAAGCTCGATCGGCCAACCCTGCCTGATCACACGATCTTCTGGGTTTGATTGATCGCCCTGTCGATTGCCTGCTTTAGGTCCAGTAGACCTTCCTGTCCTGATCAACCTATTTTCTGGGCTCAATTGGCCGCCCCGGCTCGATCGCCCAATCTCTTAGGTTCAACCGACCGCCCCGCGTTGATCACGCTCGCTTTTGGTCCCAGGCTCGATCGACCACCCTACACTGATCATTCGCTTTGGGTGTGATAGGCCGTCCCGACCCAATCGACAATTCAGAAATAACACACGAATGCTAGATTTTGTAAATATAACAAATGAGAGCCCACCAACAGGAGCCCAAGAGACCCTGTTAACTCAAATTCCAAGTCAAGTACGAAGGCTAATCGAGCAAGGAGAAAAACAAAAAGAATGCTCCAAGTTCGAACTGATCATGTTAGAACAAGACAAATAAGCATATGAACAAATCACCATTGGAAAGTCGAGCAAATGCAATTACCCACATCTAGGTAAATTTAACCCGAAGAAATAGTACAATCTTTGGAATCATTAGTCGTCCCAAGAATACTCCTGATGTTCCTCGTTGGGGACTAAGAGTCTCACAATCATCCCAATGAACTTCCTCATGAAGGAATAAGTTATTTATTAGGTTACAATGATTCATCTTCTACTTGATAGCATAATCTCATTTTTGCAATAAAAATTGCTCATTGAGAGACTGAGGGTCAATAGTCGGCCTAGATCAACCGATCAATCCTGGCTGACCGAGTTAATATTGCCGACATAAAACTAATCAAGACCAACTGTATCGACTCAACTTAGTTGACTGAAACGACCTTTATTGAATTGAAGTTATCACAACATAACTGGTTGAATCATAGACTCGTCAAACAATGAGACATATATGTGAAATATCTATAATATCATGTAATATAATGGGCAGAAATGTAATATCAAATACTAATAGACAATAGTTTTACTATTTATTTGTGTTCATTGATCTCAGTGCTATTCTTTCTTTTCTTACATTTTAATATTTTTGGTGTGATTCATGAAATCAAAATTAACATATATATATAT